AGTTTTTGGCCTGGGCTGAGTTTGAACCTGCCACCTCCAGCATATGGGGCCGGTGCCCCACCCTTTTGAGCCACAGGTGCCTCCCTGTGAGTGGGGTATCCCAGACTCTTAGGGTCCTGTGCTCATTGCCAGAAATTATAGGGGAAAAAAAATTCCACTTTTGTCCTCTTAGGGTGCCAACTGGGCCTGAGAATTAAATTAATATTAAATAGATTAACAGGAAAAAAGCATAATACAAGTTTTATGTGGCATTGGACCCCTCATAATGAGATGACCCCAGCACAACAGTTAGAGCCAGTTAGTATAATAACAGTGGGTTGGACAAAGAATAGAAAACTGTGAAAATATGACTAAATTATGGGAAGAGGCTTCAAAGATAAGAGTTATTCTAACAAGACCTGGACAGTAGTTTCTTGGTTCAACTTTTCATCCTTAAAGATAAGGTTGTTGCTGTTCTGTATAGTACAGGGAGGTCGTTCATCACATGAAAGTTTTATCTTCTTTTAAAGCAACAGTAAGAAGGTCAAAGTGGTCATTTTACACCTACTTTTTTTTTTTTTTTTTAATGTGTCTTTACCTTCTGCTTAAATAGTTGATATGCCAGAACAGCGTATTTAACCTCTTCATTTCTACCCTCTGGAACTCCTTAGAAGTTTCACGTATTAAAAATTACATTGGTGGCTGTGCAGAGAAGAGTTGGGTTAGTAGCTAAGGATTTTGGGCAAAAAGGGAGTTCAGCTAGAGAAGGATAAAGAGGAAGAGGAATTGTAGGAGGGGGAGGGGAAGGCTCGAGAAAGGACAGTCTCAGCTGGCTTTCAGAGGCTTGTAGTATCTTGAAGTGAGTCAACTTTGGGTCCTGAAGGGATTTTGAAACCTCAAGATACCAACTGAAATATGAGTCCCATTTAAACTGTTAAACCCTGCAGCCACAGTCTTCTAATTTTCAGTTCTAAGAGAAAAATAAGCTTGGAGAGATCACGCGATCTCCATATGGCCAATGGAACTCTAAATTATTTTGGTGTAAATTGCCCATGGTTTAAAGATACCTGAGGGGGAACCATAATGTTTGAAAAGTCTGCATGATGCTAATTTAAATTCTGTGCACAACCAACTAACACCAAAAGAGTACTCACCAGCAAGGGTGCAAAGTTCCCTGCAAAAAACGAAAGCAGAAGAGTACTCACCAGAGGGACGCTATCCTTTCTGTCTATAAAACAAGCTCCAGAATAAAGTCAAAGCTCAACTAAAATGAAGGACCTCAAATATAAGAGAGGACTCACCACTGGCAGAAAGATGATTTTTGTAATCAGAGAGCACTGTGGGCTCAAGTGGGTACCACGTGTGCTTCCAGGGGTCACCAGTCTGGGAAAAGGCTTGCCCTCTAGATGGATCCCACTTCTGTAACACCAGATTATGTCAACTTAAAACAACCAAAAACAGAGGCAGGCTTTCTGAAAAAGAGTTTATTCAGGAATTAGTAGCACATTGCAATTCAGAATATGCATGTTATAGAGGACCATAGACACATCATATGAGGTTGGGGCAAGAGGAAGATTTATTTTATTTATTTATTTATTTATTTATTTGAGACAGAGCCTCAAGCTGTCACCCTGGGTAGAGTGCCATGGCATCACAGCTCACAGCAACCTCCAACTCCTGGGCTTATGCAATTCTCTTGCCTCAGCTTCCCAAGTAGCTGGGACTACAGGTGCCTGCCACCAATGCCTGGCTATATTTTTGGTTGTAGTTGTCGTTGTTTGGCGGGTCCAGGCTGGATTCGAACCCGCCAGCTCTGGTGTATGTGGCTGGTGCCTTAGCTGCTTGAGCTACAGGCACCAAGCCAAGGGGAAGCTCTTAAAGACAAAAGAGAGCAGCGCGTGTAAGTTGTTTTGAAATAAAGGGGCTCATGGTAGGAGTTGATTTCAGTTCATTAGTGGAGACACAGTGGCAGGCAAGTATTCTTGTGCAGGTGGCTAGCTGGCCTCATGCTGCCAGCTGTCCTTGTGTGACTCATGGAGCCACTAGCTCATCCCTCATGTAGTAAGCAGCAGTTTGGAGAACATTCTTTGTGTATTTTTGGTATAGGCTTAGCATGTGAGCGCCTCTCTCTCATGGCCTCTTGGCTCCATTTTATTAGGGTTAGATGTAAGTGACTTCTTTTTGGTGTTGATAACTTTCTGCACCATCTACTGAAATATCCCTGTGCCGCAGCACAATCTCTTCAACCTCCGTGTGGAGGCTGAGTTGGGATCACAGTGGCTTTCTGGTTAAATCTTGGCTCTCCCAGCCTACCTGCTTAAGTGTCCTATCTCAGGATTCCTCTATTCTTCCTTCCCCAATAGGAGAGACTCACAAGCCTGTGTGATTATTCTGTGTACTACAGTGGACCTGGTGGGGGATGTCCTTATCATACCCCTATAGTTCTCATTGGACCTCTGAAAGATCCCTTGCCCCAATAAAAAGAACAGCTGTTATGATTTGATGTGATCAATTCATGTTTGCCCCACCTTTTGTAAAGTGTGAATCAAGGCATCTTTAAGAAACATTGTATTTTTATTGATCTCTAATGTTCGATCTAAATAAAACCCATGTGCTTGCTCTATGAGGACAACCTCAAGGTTTATCCCCATCTGCTTCTTTCCAGTCAGGAGGCTGTCCCTGAGCCCTTCCCTGTGGATAATTCTAGAACTGTTTAGCTAGGGGCCTCCTGGTAAAATCACTCAAAAGTGACTACCCCTGGAGTTTGGATACATGAGTCCTGACAATTAAGGTTACTAACTCATCCTAGACAAAATGCTACACACCTCATTGCTGAATGTTACTGGGTCGCCTTTGAAGTATCCCCTTGGGAAGCTGTGCACCTATGCCAGCACCTAGTCCACCCTTCAAAGCACTTTTTCTAGGACAAGTTCATGAACTTAATCACCAGACCTGATGGTCATTCCAAAATGAGTTCCAAAATTGCTTTGAAGGGGGGACTAGGTACTGCTGTCAGTGCACAGCTTCCCAAGGAGAGTACTTTACAGGTGACCTAGTGATATTCAGTAATGTAGCAGTTTTTCTAGGACGAGTTCATGAACTTAATTGTCAGATCTTCATAGATCAACATGGGAGGGATTCCCAGCCAATCTGTAATGGGGAACTGTCCATCCCTTTGGAGAGAACTGATCCTAAGGGAAGGGTCATCAGGTGTGTGATGTCAAATTCAGCAGCAAGGGCAGAGGACAGAGTGGGGTGGAGGTCTGAGCACTGTGTGGTGACTGCTATTTAAACCCCACTGGGCACCTGCTTCCCACTCCCACCATACATAGAGATTTGGGAACAAAAGCTAGTTGCTGCTTTCAAAGTTCTCTCTCCCTCCCCAAACTGGTCAGCATTCTTGTGCCAGAAAAAGGGGAGCCACTTTCAGTGTGTGGCATATCAGGATAGGGGCAAGCCTACAAAAGTCCCCTGAAGTGGCTGAGGACATCCAGGCAAGGTGGGGAGGGGTGGACACAGTGCCTTCAGTGGCAGGGCTCTCTCAGAGTGTTAGAGCACCAACTCAGCAGGAGTCAAAGTCCTGAGCTTGAGTTGGTGGAGTTTAAGCTGGAAACATTCAGGTCAAAGAACAAATGGTAGCTGCAGGCTGCCATACAAAGTCCCATAGACTGGGGGACTTAAGTAGCAGATATTTATTTTTCATAGTTCTAGAGGCTGGAAAGTCCAAGATTAGGGTGCCAGCTGATATAGCTCCTGGTGGGGGCCCTTTCCCTGGTCCATAGAAGGCCACCATTTCCACTGTGTCCTCACATGGTGCAGAGAGGAAGCTCTGGTCTCTTCCTCTTCTTATAAGGATACTGGGGTCCTGGGGTCTCTACCTTCAGACCTTACCTAAACTTAATTACCTCCCAAGGGCTCTACCTCCAGATACCATAAAACTGGGAGTTAGGGACTCAACTTATGAATTTTGGGAGGATACGGACATTGAGTCCACAAGTCATCTACAGCTGGGGAGGTGGGGGATGGTCCAGTTGATGCAGAAAGGCCTGGCACATGGCACAAACTTAGCAATACTCTTTTCCTTTGTTTTTCATTTTCTTTCCATAAGATGGTAGCTGGAAGGCAGATATTAAGTGACATCCAAAGAAAAATAATCACATCTTCTCCTCTTGGTGCTGAGTTTCTCTGCCTTGATCCTCTCTTCCATTCCTCCTGTTTTTAGTCCCTCTCGGGGCTCCTTGGTGCCAGGTTCCCACAGGACTGGCTTTTGTGCAAACCTTGTGGGTAGGGCCCAGGGCTGTGAGTCTGAGTGATGGTGCATTCCCTACTCCGTTCTTTCTCCAAACAGTTTGCATTTTCATTTCAGACAAAGAGTTCTTCTTCCTGGACAATGAGACCAGGTTGTGCACAATAGCTCCTGAAGGCTGGAGAGAACAGTCCCCGAAGACCTCCATGAACACCTTCACGCTCTTCCTGAGGATAAAGTTCTTTGTCAGCCACTACGGGCTGCTCCAGTGAGTGCTGTTCCTTTATTCGTTAGGGGATTTACATATGTCCAGGCTGACTTCAAGGCAATGGATAGGCAGGTGCTTTGCAAACTATCCAGTATATATAGATAACAATAGTTGTTGTTGATCTTCTGTTGATTGGACTCTGATAAAACAAGAGACAGAAAAATCAGTATTTTGAGGCAGGCCCTGGTCAAAATGAGAACTTGCCCTTGTATTTCAAATATTCTCTGCTTAAGGTCCAAGTTCTTTCTCCCTGACCACACATGCCCACGCCTCCTCTAGATACAGCCCCGCAGCCTGGTGATGAGGGCTGGAGGAGAGGCCCGTGGGTTTGCAGATGGATCACTGCATCTTCATTCCTTTGTTCACTAGAAACACCACCGAACTGAATATTACTTCCCTCACTTAAACCGTAGCAACAAACGTCTCCTTGGATTGAAGTGCCCGGCACAGAGGAGCCCTCAGTTAGTGGCAGGAGGCACAGTGTGGATGAAGGAGACCACACTGTCTCACTGGCATTGGCCTCTGGCTTTCCTTGGCGTTAGCGTTCTCCCTTCCCCTCCACATTCCAGCCACCTGCATTTCTGAATTTCTTTCCCAGGCACAGCCTGACCAGGCATCAGTTTTACCTGCAGCTTCGGAAGGACATCCTGGAGGAGAGACTACACTGCAGTGAGGAGACCCTGCTGCGACTGGGGGGCCTTGCTCTGCAGGCCGAATTTGGCAATTACCCCAAGGAGGTAGGGGTGATACTTGGAATTGGGGGGCTGGTAGTAACGTGGAGACTGTGCCTTTCAGAAGTGTTGTTAGCATCTACCACTGAGATTAGGGTAAACTACATCTATTTATTCATTCATCCACCCACCCACCCATCCATCTAGTCATCCATCCATCCACCCATCCATCCATCCATCCATCCATCCATCCATCCACCCACCCATCTATCCATCCATCCATCCATCCATCCATCTATCCATCCATTTATCCATCCGCCCATCTATCCATCCATCCACCCATCTATCCATCCATTTATCCACCCACCCACCTATCCATCCATCCAGAAAGCATTCATTGAGCATTCTTTGCAGGCTCTGGGAGACACAAGGATGAACAAATCAAATTCATACATTGTAATGTAGTTCTAGTCTAATAGATTGTCTCTTAACAACAGTAATTTACTAATTTATTCAGTTCCTATCATCATCTTCATTAGCAACAGCAGCAGCAGTAATAGCCAACCTTTATTAAGAGACCACCCCATACCTGACCTTGACCTAGACATTCTCCAGAATGTTAACTCACATAACTCTCACAGCTTTACTCTGGACCATTGTGGCAGACACTTCAAAGTGAGGGGTTCAGGGGTAAAGTTGGGGTGAGGGTCTGCAAGAAGGAGAGGTGACCAGCCCAGCCGTTAAGAAGAGGCTTTATTAGAAAGAAAAGAGCAGAGTGGAGTCTGACAAAGAGCCAGCTCCTGGTCACAGCTTCAAGAGGGTTGGAATGTGGGAGAGGCTTTCTAGAAGTCATTCTCTTCTGCCGAGGGACTGAGTTTGCACTAATGGCAAATTTTGGAGTTATTCCCTTGATTGGCTGCCAGCCAGGGCAGGGGTAGAAAGTTATTGTTTTGTTGGTTCCCAGGAACACTGGCCTTGAAGCATTCGATGGGGGGTGGTGAGGAGGCTTACTGTTGTGATGCAGTTCGGTTTTTAGCCTATTTTTCTATAATGGTTGCACTCCTGTGAAGGCTATGAGGATTCCTTCCCCACACAAAAGGCATTTGGGGGAGACTTCAGGAGCTCCTAATGCCTCCCTAAGCCCCTCTCCACGTTGCTGAGTGGCAGAAAGAGGAGGCTGGCCTGTCCGGGGAGCTTAGCTGGTATTGAGCCTGGGTGGGCGCCACCTGTCATATCTGGACAGACTTAGTGTGCCCTCCTAAGGGGCTTATATTTTGTTTGATAAATGGTTCTGCTGTTGGAAAAAAATAATTTGAAAACTACTGTTGTGAAAGATTGGGAGCCCCTAAAGAATTTTAAGCAGGGAAGTGACATGATTACATTTGCATTTTAAAGAGGGAGACAAAGACAATTTAGTATAAAAATAAATCTCCTTAATCACATCATCATAGCAGAACAACTTTTCTCTGGGCATATTCTCACACGCAGGGATTTTTAAACGGTCGTAAACATCTCCACATTTGATTTGCATTCTGCTTTCTCACTTCAGGGTATGTGTCCTCTGGCGGCCTTCCCAGTGGTCTTTCAGCGTGGCTGCCCGTTAGGCCTTCACGGGCCGGGGCTTCCTGCACTTCCAGGCTCTAACTGTGGGACATTCACCTCTTCACCTCGTAGTGCTATGTAGATGATAACTACTATGTTTATTCAAGTTACTGCTGATCTTTCTCTTTGATAAATGATATAGAATTAGAGATACTGTATTTTGCCTTGTATGTGGATAATGTGGCACTTTTTTGCCCATTTCTGAGGGGAAAATAAGGATGTGCATTATACATAGGTAGTGTAGCTCAGGAGCAGAGACACACAGTGGGCCTTCTGGGGCTGCTAATGCCCTTCTGCCTAAGCCCACCAGGCACATGGGATTCAGTCTGGGAGGGTCAGGGATCTGGTGGGAGAGTACCAGAGTGGACCTCCACTGAGGAGGAGGCAGCGGTGGGCTGTGAGAAGGGCCACAGCCACGCCATGCAGGGCAAGAGCCACGGCCTGCAGCCTGGAAACAGAGAAGGGACCAGGAGCCCTCAACAGGCCCCAGGGACTCTCCTGGATGCCTGCGGGCTGAGTGGTCCCAGAAGCTCCCACTCTGCTGGCTATGCACATGTCTTGGCCATGGCCTCTAATGTGGTGGGGAGGGAAGGGCTCCTGGGAGGAAGGAAGGGCCTCACAGAGCAGGTGGCTGTGGGAAGCTAGGATAATCTGCACGTTTACCTGGGGAGTGTTAGCCTGCCCCAGATGTGTCTCTCCTGGCTGAGAGCTGGCTACTTTCTCAAGGAGCATTTTCCTGAAAATTTGGGCCAAAAATATGGGTCCACCTTATATGTGGGAGTGCATTTTACATGGCAAAACTTTTGTCTGGGGACAAAACATGGTACTTTTGTCTGGGGACTTTTTAGTTCCATATTGACTTTTTCTCCTGGATATATTCTTAGCAATGAGATGCTGGTCAAAGATCCGAAATACTGATGTTTTAATGTTCGAATAGACTTCAGTTTTCAGAGCAGTTTTAGGTTCACAGCAAAACTGCGTGATAAATGCATAGATTTCCCGTATGCCCCTGTCCCTACCTATGCACAGCCTCATCTGTAAAACATTCTTCAGGGCCTCCTCACAAACACCCCACACCAGGATGTATGTCACAATCCACGAACCTATGCTGACATATCATGATCACTCAGAGTCCATAGCTTACCCTGGGATTCATTCTTGGTGTTGTACTTCCATAGGCTTTGGCCAATATTTAAAGATTTGAATCCACCATTATAGTATTTTCAAAGCCAAATAAAATACAAAGACAAATCTCTAAATTTAAAACATTTTGTTTGGAAAGCAAGAACTGCAGTTCAGGACACACACACGGACCCAGTGGTCTTCATTATGCTGGAAGGACACAGCCAAGGTTGGCATTTTTATAAGAGAGAAACACGTTACATATTGTTTGAAAGAAAACTTACCAGTTGGAGAGAAGCTTTGGGGAGCTGGTAGGCTCTGGTGAGTGACACTGGCAGGAGACACCAGTCTTAAGAGTCACAGCAAGTCACTTTAGCAATTACCTAGGTTTATAGCAGTTCATTTCAGCAGTGGGCTTGTGGAAAAACTTAAATCTCTGTGTGCCCTGAGAACATTTCCCCCTGGCCCCTCAATTCTCATTTGGTTAAGAGAATAATGACCCAATTTGTATACTACACTTTCAGATTTCATAGCCCTAAACATCCTCTGCGCTCCACCTCTTCATCTGTCCCTCCCTACAAACCCCTGACCTTTTTACTGGCAGTACGTTTTGCTTTTTCCAGAATGCCATATCGTTGGAATCATATAGCAGATAGCCTTTTCGGACTGAGCTCTCTGACTTAACAATATGCAGTTAGGGTTCCTCCATTTCTTTTTCTTTTTTTTGAGAAAGAGTCTCAAGCTGTCTCCCTCGGTAGAGTGCGGTGGTGGCACAGCTCACAGCAACCTCAAACTCTTGGGCTTAAGCATTTCTCTTGTCTCAGCCTCCCAAGTAGCTGGGACTACAGGCGCCTGCCACAACGCCCAACTATTTTTGTTGTTGTTGCAGTTGTCATTGTTGTCTTAGCCAGCCCAGGCCAGGTTCAAACTCACCAGCCTTGAGTATGAGTGCCACCCCTCCATTTCTTTTCAAAGCCCGGCCGCTTATTTCTTTCCAGTGCTAGATGTACCCCAGTTTATCCATTCACCTACTGAAGTTCACCCTTCCCTTCCAAGTTTTGGTAATGATAAATGAGCCCTCTCTGAACATCTATGTGCAGGTTTTTGTGTGGACAGGAGCTTTCATCTCCTCTGGGTAAATGCCAAGGAGCGCGACTGCCGGCCATACTAACAAATGGCTAAACGCATACATTTAGTTTTGTAAGCAGCTGCCTGACTGTCTTTTAGAATGGCTGTACCGTTCTGCATTCTCTTTAACACGGAGAGTTCTGGTTGCCCCACATCTTCACCAGCATTTGGCTGGTCAGGGTCTCATTTTGGCCATTTTAGTAGCATTCTAAATGCTTTCTTGGTATACTACATTGCCGAGAAATTTCTTTCCCTTTTTGCCTCTGAGCTCAGAACCAACATGGGGCCAGCACCAAGCTGGAGGATTCTGAGTCCATAACCACCTGGAGACAGGTCTGTGCCACACCAGGAGTGTGGAATTTAGCGGGCACTACGCTGTTCCCTTCAGATCCCCTTGTTGGGCCAGCTCGTGTATGCCTACCCCTGAGAAGGCCAGATTTTCCCAGTTCCCATCTGCTTTCCTCATGGGTAATTGCTCTCAGCTGGGGGAAAATGTCTTGGGCAGGGTTAGGCTGGCAGGGGGACAATGAGACCAGGCGAGGTTGATTTGGAAACACACGGGCTTCCTGACTTTCTCATTCTTTACGGTAGACCTCAAGATCACCTCCCCAGGAACTTCTGCATAATTCTCTCTGCTCCAGAGTCTGTGTTCAGGGAATCCACCAGCAGGCAGTAAATGACCCAATCTGCTATCTTCTCCTAGGGGGCCATAGCTCAGTCCCCCATAGAGCAGACTCATTAAAGGTTTAGGCCTGGAATGGAGGGTCAGGTCTCCCCTTGTTTAGGAACACTCCTTGCACAGAGATATTGCCACAGCTGAGACCCTCCTCATAAGGGGGACCGTGTGCTTAGTGCATATGTGGACAGAAATGCGAAATGAATAAAAAGAAACAAAGTTTTGGGGCCACAGTTTTGCTGTGTCTTTGGGAAATGGTGTGTGGATCATGGAATGAGTGAGGGCTGTGAGTGAAAAAATCCTGTTTCTGTCATCTCCAAGTGGTGACCTTAGCCCTATTGAATGCTTTCTCTTTTGGCTCATCTGGGCTATACCAAAAGCATTGCCACCCTCATAGCTTTACTGTGAGCCTAACATGTTCTGCAGACCACCTTGTACACAGAGGGGGCTCAGAAACAGGTGGCTCCTTTTCTCTGTCTTCTGTTCATGCCACAGGGTTTGGCCCCACTTCTAAGGTAGCAGAAAATGATATCCCAGGTGGGCACCTTGAACAAGCATCCTTGCCTGACACCCTCATTGGATCGTGACTGTTGACATGGTTTTGTTCTGCTCAGAGAACACAGACGGTGTCGTGCTTATGCCCCTTTCCCTCTGCATCTTGTTTCTAGCAGGTGGAGAGTCAGGTGTACTTTCGAGTAGAAGATTACATCCCAGCAAGTCTGATCGAGAGAATGACCCCTCTGCGGGTACAGGTGGAAGTCTCAGAGATGCACCGACTCAGTTCTGTACTTTGGGGAGAGGATGCTGAGCTGGAGTTCTTGAGGGTAAGTCCTTGCAGACCTTGAGAGTGGTGCTGATCTTCAAGGGAATGCAATTAGCAATCCCTTCTGGAACCTTCTGCTAGGGTATACTCACACACAGAAGGAGGCTCAAACAAGGGTCTTGAGCTAGAGGAGGAAGGGAGCCCCCATCGCCTTGAGGGCAAAGAGAGGCTTCTGGAAGCAGGGCCCTTGGAAATGGCCTGAGGACAGGTAGGATATGGAGTGGATGCAGTGGGGCCTTTATTTAGTCTCAGAGTAATATCTCAGCTACTTTTCTGCCAGTGAGGAGACCACAGTTTTTGTGATGACATAGAGGACAACAAAAAATCACAGTGTGAACCAGAGCAAAGGCATTGGAAGACCCAGAATTTGGGGCTCAGCAACTTAATCAGGACTGTGTGAGGAGCTGTGGAGTCTGCAGGGAGGATAACTGGTCTGTAGAGTCTATTTGGCAGCAGGAGAGGGATGGGCAAAGAGCTGGAGAGAGGAGCTTTCAAAAGCCACAATTTGTCCCTGTTTTTGTGACCCTGCCTGGGGGTGGAAGAGATCGCACAGGATGTGACATGGTGCTGCTGGGGGAAGTGGGTAAAATTGGTACACCAGATCTCACCAGTGAAACCCTTCTCAGATGTGTTTGAATGTCTGCAGCAAGATCCCTGCTGTGGGTCCAGATGCATCAACTTTCTGGGGAGGACTGGAGCCTTCGTGGTGCAGATGAAGATGGGAGAGCCCAGGATAGAGATGGAACTGCCATTCACACATAAAAATCTTTGTTGTTTGTTTTATATTCTGGTTTGTTAAGAATTTGGTTGGCCTAATGTAGTTTCCAGCTCAGACTGACCCACAGCCCATGGCAATCTTTAGTCTGTTAACCTGGTAAATTGATGCAAGACCTTGGGGTCTGGGAACCCCATTGATGCATTGCTGTGAGGTAAGAAAGTCCAAAAAGAATGGCCATTTTCTCTGCATGGTGTTCTTGCCTCTTGTTAATTTAACAACAACACTAATGACCTGGATGGTCACTTTCTGTCCTTGAACCTCAGGTTTTCCATCTGTAACATGAAGGATTTGGACCAGACAATATGCATGTATACTGTAGCTGACTAGCTGACACAACTGGGAAAAGAAATCCTGAGATGTTCCAGAAGAGTCTGAATTGCAAAACACTTGTTCAGAATAGTACTGTGTTTCCCCCAAAATAAGACACTGTCTTATATTTATTTTTTCTAAAGAAGACACACTAGGGCTTATTTTCAGGGGCATGGCATGGCTATGCAGCATCACTAGGTCTTATTATCGGGGTAGGGCTTATATTTAACAAATGCATAGAAATTCTGCTAGGGTTTTTTTTTGGGTAGGTCTTATTTTTTGGGGAAAAATATTATTATACCATATCATTTTCATAAGTGTCTCCTAAGTGTTGTTTTAGGAGTTCTATGAGAAAGTATTCTTTTGGGTAAGAAAAAATAGAAAAGTGCTATCATATCAGAGGTACAGAGAAATTCTGTATGGTAGTAAGAAAACTTGTTTAGCTTGCTGTTTCTTAAACTTATTTGACAGGCCTACTTTTTCTTTTTTTGTTTTTTTTTCAGAACACCTATCAAAGCATTTTTTCATGGTCTGGTTTGAGGCCCATTTCTATAAACCAGTGTACCTATCTCTTCTAAATTGGCCTTTTTCTTGCTCCAGGTCTCCCAGCAGCTCCCAGAATACGGCGTGCTGGTTCACCGGGTATTCTCAGAGAAGAAGAGGCCAGAAGGGGAGCTGGCCTTGGGGATCTGTGCCAAGGGTGTCATAGTATACGAAGTGAAAAACAGCAGCAGGATTGCAACGTTACGGTTCCAGTGGAGAGAAACCAGGAAGATTTCGACTCATGTGAGTGTAGCTCAGTTGATAAATAACCTGGGCTTCATTTTCCTTTGATCTGTACTCCATAAAGGAGTAATAGGCCATATGATTTCCTCCTGTGACCAGGCTCACAGCCTGTGCATCTGTTAACCTGCATTCTGAGGCATTGCGGGGTCTTTGGAAGTAGTTCTACTAGGGGATTTTGGGAGACCCCCAGTAGACTCTGTCTTCTCTCCCATCCCTTACCTGTGGGACTAAAGGGTTACATTTTCCTTCTGGGTAATATTCTCTTCATTTATCTGAAGAATCCATCAACACTGGGAGCAGGGTTGGAGGTGGGAGATGGGAGAGAAGGCGTGTAGTAGCATAGGTTGGAAGGTTTTGAAACATTTCCTTGCATTTTAATTTCACCTTTG